TATGCATCTATAACTGGTATGCGTATGGTTCATATCCCATGACACACGACACTGCCATTCAATTACAAACTATCTTCTTGTACTTATGAGCAATTACACATGACGTCATCACACGCGAACCACACATGTGTATCTATATGGACATTTTGCTTTATAAATATACTCATCTATATTTATTTATATATATATATATATATATGAACTATATTCATGTGTATACATAAATATTTATTCTCAGTATAAATATTTGAAAATGAATTTATATATATACTTATACATATATATATATGACTATATATATATATATATGTGTATATATATATATGTATTTATAGATTTATAGATACATATATATGTGTGTGTGTGTGTGTGTGTGTGTGTGTAAATATATAAATGCGTACTGTGCGTTTGGTTGAGCGTTCGTAAAAACACATGACTATATCAATATCACCCAAATTGCTAGTTTGATTTGTACTCTTTCATTTGCTCGAAATCAGCTCATTCAGAAATTCCACGGCTTGAAGACGCAGTGTATTTGATACCATATTTCTCATCCACAGATACCGTCTAGTTCTTTCCTGGCCAATACTGATGTCCCCTTAACCAACATTGGGAGTGCTGAGATCGCTCCAGGGTTCACCAGCAGGGATGCGCATGAAAACAGGTAACTATCAGTATTGCGTATGTCTAGAGCATTGATTCAGACCTTCTCATGCTACTAGGAAAACACAGCACAGACGAGTACATACTCATGACAGTTTATTGAGATTTTCACTATGTATATTGTTCATGCCAGTCACTTTCAACCGGATATGCATCATAAACCATTGTAGTATCAGAATATTGTGGAAGGTTAGGATTTAAAATTCATCGTGAGGGACTGAAAGTGTAAGAATAAAAAATCCACCAAGCTTGTTGTACGGGGAATTGCTTGTAGTCTGGCTACGATTGTTCTTGCTGCGGACATATCTGTGCATAATATAGGCAACCAGCATACACACACTTCAGGAGCCTGTGATATACGAGGATGCACCATCACCGTATGAAGACACCACACTACTACCTAGCACAACTGTGTAAAATGCGGACTCGCAGGAATATATATATATATATATATATATAATTATAAATACGATTATATACAATTATAAATACAGATATATACTTTTATAAATACAATTATAAATAGAGCTATATACAATTATAAATACAATTATATATACAGTTATATACAATTATAAACACAATCGTATACAATTATAAAAGCCAAAACGCCTTTGCACACGCAAAAAAAATGAGGAATGGAGTGCGTGCGTTCATATCATTCATATCACCAAACACATCGATGCCCAGTTGGAGCCCACGCAGTGAGGAGAAGACTTTGGTGAACTCTGTGGCGGAGGGGACTGAGTCACAGAGACAGAGAGAGTGGAAGACGATCAGGTGTCTGCGAGACAACTTCAAGACCACGTCAGAGGAAAAGTAGGTTTTAGATTTGCCATTTGAAATATGAGCGTGGCGTGATATTTATGTGGATCAATTAAATTGCATTGGGTTTTGGGCGAACGTATAATGAGGCCGACTATCTGTCTGTGGTAATAACAAGACACGTATTAAGTCTCACTTCCTATTCGGGATAATCAAAGCTAAAACGTTTTCTTTCTTATTACTAATATTAAGTCATCAACAGATTTATGTTAATGTACGCTCATCATTATATGATAGTCTGCACATTGTCATCAGCGTATTGACTATATGCACTGCTGTACTTTATCCTATTACTTGGTGCAAGCCGTGTGCGTGCACTATTCGGCAATTGAATGCGCCCTGGTAGTATCCCAGACTCTCTGTCTGAAAATTGTAGCTGCAAAATTAATTCGAGAAACTCGGGTGTGTATGTGTAGTGAGTGATCTGTCTGTCGATACAACTGCATGGATATTATATGAGTATTGTATATGTTGTTTCAGGTACAATAGAGCTATACATATCTATATATATATATATGTGTGTGTGTGTGTGTGTGTGTGTGTGTGTGTGTGTGTGTGTGTGTGTGTGTATATATATATATATATATATATATAGCTCCCGTCATCTTCGTTTTTAAAGCTCGCTATTTACACACATTTGATTACAAATGCCACAGGCTCTTAATGGTAGACAAGCTATCGCATGGTCGTATTGAGAGCATTGAGAAGGGTGGCAAACGGCTGATGTACATTCTCAGGTTCGCGAACGGACTCAAGGCAGTGTTCAAGGTATATTTCTATCTGTATCCTCAAGTGTGCGTATACGAATGCTACTGTAGTTTGAAGTTTATATATTTATATTTAAATATATATATATAGGTAGACATGCATTTACATACAATCGTGCCTGTGCGGCACAGCTCTTCTTGATACAATTTATTTAGTGCGGCTTAGGCTCTTGGGATATGTTCTGTGATATGTGTTAACGTTTGCAAACTTTAACGCTGTAGTTGAGTTAGAACTCTTGGGCAGAAAGATTCGATCTGCGCTATTTCAGAACACTATTCTGTTGTTTTGATGGCGGCTTGGTAGAATACCTTGCTAGATATATCGTTCTGATACGCATTCCACTGACACAACTCATTTAGCCTTATGCTCTCTATGTGTGCACATGTACATTGTATTTATGCGAACGTTGTTTGCGTGAAGGTATCGTCAAATGCGTACTAAAACAATGCATACATGCCTGTGCAATATGAAAGTACAACTCTTACCGCACTGTTTTCTCAGTGTCCTGTTCACGTGATCTTGGTTTGTGGGAACGTTTGATTATAGACCAGTTGCAGTGAATGAATTCTTAAAACGTATACATACGTATATAAATCTTTGCGACAACGTAGTCTGGAATACAAAACGTTGTCACCAGTTGTATGTACGTATTGGCTCACCTCGCAACCCATGCCATTCTCGTCGACTTCAATACACGTTACGATGTGTAGGCCATGAGATCGTATAAGTCCTCTCCGGTCAGGTAGCCGCTATTGCATAGGTAGATCAACTTGTCGGAGATAGAGATACAGTGTATAAGTACTCTCAGGTCAGGTAGCTACTATTGCATAGATAGATCAACTTGTCGGAGATAGAGATACAATGTATAAGTATTCTCAGGTCAGGTAGCCACTATTGCATAGGTAGATCAACTTGTCGGAGATAGAGATACAATGTATAAGTATTCTCAGGTCAGGTAGCCACTATTACATACGTAGATCAACTTGTCGGAGATAGAGATACAATGTATAAGATTCCCAGGTCAGGTAGCCACTCTTGCATACGTAGATCAACTTGTCGGAGATAGAGATACCTCTCAGGTCAGGTAGCCACTCTTACATACGTAGATCAACTTGTCGGAGATAGAGATACAGTTGTGCACTGTCCACGACATGCTTGGGCGGTATAGCTCTGTGTGTGTGTCTCAGGCCGCTAAGATGGAGGTAGCGGTCGATGCCTCTTTGAGACTCAAGTGTAGCTGGTCTATACCACACTACAAGAAGTGCGGAATATCAAGACTTGTCAACTAATACATGAGTATCTTCCTGCACTCCACTTATTGAATAAGATCAAGAAAAATTTTGGCCTTGTCGAGCCTTCGACCGATTTTAGGTTTTAGGGTTTTTCTAAACCCTAATAAATATTGGCCTTGCTATTACCTGCGTTGAGCCTTCGAAGATGAAAAGGCGTAGACACTTTGGCTAGGCATGCAGCACAAATAGACATCATCTCCGACTATAGTTTAATATAGAGCTACCTACCGGCACCCCAAGTTGATATACACAATGCGCTATGTCTATACACATAAGTGAATGACATACGGCCTACAGTACGCAATATCGTGCAAGCATACTCGAATAGACACGTTGTGCGTCTGCATCCCGTAAGTGTTACAAAGTCATGCGATAGAGGCTCTTGAGCACAATTTAATAGCACACCTGTGGTCGTTGCACGCACAACGTCTGTAGACAGACAGATGCGGTTATGCACACGTTATGTGTGTGATGGACCACAGGTTTGGTATTAACTCGTGCCAAGATCCTGTATCGAATGACTTTGTAGCACCTACGGGGGTATATAGACCCACAAGACACAAACATACATGTATACGTATATATGGTTTGTCTCATGAGATATTGAGCGCTGGTTCGTACGCCTGCACTGAGCTTTAGAACACTACGGTCTCGGCTCGTTGTCTGTTTACCATACGAATCATATCATGGAAATGGCCTGGTTAGTTTGAGCTTGCTTTCTAAATGTCCATTCATTTACTGCGTACACGCGTGCACCGTATGAAGCCTTTCGGTGGTGACCCTGCCGAGCACACGTACATGCCTAAATCCCAAAGCCGAGACCAGAATACGGGACAGGACAGGCCCAAAAATGAAACCGAGGTGCGCGGTAACAACAGTCAGGGGTGGTGCGAGATAGTGGCGTATCACATCGACCAACAGTTGGGACTTGATAGAGTACCTGTGACTGTGGGTAGACCCATTGCACTACAAGCACTACTGGACGTCACGAAATCAGAGTTTGAACGAGACACACTTCAGGTGAGGGAGTTGGAAATACACAGGTGAGCTTGTGTACGCATACATATGTCTATAAACAGGAGTGTGCAACTATCGTGATGCGTGTATGTTTCAGTCTTACTGTATTTATGCGTGTATGTTTCAGTCCTATCTGGTATAAGTTTGACACTTCAAGTGGGGACATAGAAGTTTATGGTTGTAATTATCTACTCTTGTGTAGATCGATACCTATGTATATGCACGAATATCAATGCGTGCACGATATTCGGTAGATTAGGTGTCTTTTCAATTGAAGCCTTTCAAAGGCTCAATTCACCCTTTCAAACAAAGTGAACATGACCGAACTTTTAATATATGTCAACTCATATAAGGAGAAGACATCACACGCTGATACTGCTTACAGCCCCAAATAAGGGAAAAGCCATTCATACCAACATGGTTTATAGACATTCATACTGTCCTAGTGTATATACGCATGCTGATGTGACTTTTCCATGCATACCAACATGGTTTGTATATGTGCATACTAACGTGGCTGATGTACGCATGCTGACTTGGTTAATACATTCATACCAACATGGTTTATATATATGCATACTGACGTGGTTTATATACGCATGCTGACTTGGTTAATACATTCATACCAACATGGTTTATATATCTGCATACTGACATGGTTTATTGATACCTCTTGTAGCGCTGGGCGCTGTTCAGTGATGTAACCAACCAAGGGGATGCAGTGGTCAGAGGGAGTGTGACTGAGTGGCTGACGGGTGATACGCTGACCACGCCTGACGGATTGCAATGTACCGAACAGTGGCAAGACATGCTGGAATCCTTTGCCAAACACTCCAAGTATGGTTGTTGATCAAGTTCAGATACAAGCGTAATCAGTGATGTGTGTTGTCACGCGTGGACCAAATGTCGTATACACACTATAAGTAAGGATAGGGAGATGCAGTTTATATTAGTCTCATCCGAACACATGTTCAACATATGTTTTAGTAAATCAGAATTATGTACATATCCAGATAGTCCGTATGCACTTTTGTGCATATAACCCGTATGCATAAGTGCAAATACCTAAATGGAAACGTGTAATATGCACGCATCAACCGTGACACTGTCCATATCTTCATATCCATGCTAGTTTGCAATGGCTATTTCTCCTTTCGGTCATGTGTTAACGTCAATATAGAAACGGATTTGCCCATGAAGAGAGTACAATTTTGAATGACAATAATGAACCCTTGCTTTGTCGCGCCTAGTTTGTTGTTGTATGTGTCTATGCCACCCTACTCACGTTCATGCGCACACATATAACTATCCAGCCGTCTCACTATTCTACAGTGGAATAGCCGGTTCGAGCAATGGTGAATAGAACTCCATTGATATACCTAAAAAAAACACGTCATAGTATGTATAGAGATGCATGTTTCATTCCCGCTTATTTAATATGTAGCAATTCGCGAGCCACTTCTCCATCTATCGCCCATTTGAGTGTCTTTGAATGTCCGCGACGGCTACTATCGCAGCTTGACTCCTACCGATTGACTATCCATGTTACCATTGTATCGCATTACGTCTCTATAAATGTAGACGAGTTCCCAGGCGTGCAGACACATTTTGGTGTTGTTGCATATGATTACGGTGACTTCTCATCCTTTGACTATTTCTCAGACACAATAAGTATCAGAATCGGTATGCACTGCCTTGACTATCATTTCCAACACCGTGTAGTGTGACGTGGAACAACAAACCTCGACGGTTTAAGGGTTTTCTAAAACCCTAAACCCTATAACCCTAGAGCCCGTACATAACACAATAAGTCTCAGAATTGTGAGGACTACCATGCCTACCATTTTCAACATCGTGAGTGCAGGACGTATCAGAGACGTGGTCAAGCAAACCTCGACGGTTAGTTAAGATTCACTGTTAAAATCAATGAAGCTCGATAAAGATATTTCATTCTTTATCGCCCGTTGTAGTAATCTTTTTGTGTACTGATGGTTACTATTCCCAATCAAACACTCCTTAGGGATCACAGTCAGACTGTGATTGTAACCAAATCATCGAAACTTGGGGAGGGGTGGATGAGGGATATGTTTTCAAATATTTTGCCTTTAGTTGTGTATTTAATTGCAGGCTACTTCTTCATGTCTAGGTCTGGATGCCGTTAGAGGTATATCTAGGCTTATGTGCGTGTGTACCTAACATTTATTTGCAGGCTACTTCATGGGGAGTTAAGTTAGAGGTATATCTAGGCTTATGTGCGTGTGTACTTAACATTTATTTGCAGGCTACTTCTCAATGCCGTTAGTGGTATATCTAGGCTTATGTGCGTGTGTACCTAATATTTATTTGCAGGCTACTTCATGGGGAGTTAAGATAGAGGTATATCTAGGCTTATGTGCGTGTGTACTTAACATTTATTTGCAGGCTACTTCTCAATGTCGCTAGAGGTATATCTAGGCTTATGTGCGTGTGTGCTTAACATTT